TTGCACACTAATATGGTAATCGTGGGGACTGAAGACAACAGCTTCGGTCCCTTTTGTCAAAATAATGCTCTAGCTACTTTCTGGCCTAGAAGCCAAAGGAACACTGGAAGAAGCCTCTTTTAATTACTATCTCAGCCTTAAGAATAAGCTTGACTAAATTTCCATCTGAACTTTGAGTGCTGGCTCAATAATTTTGGAGAAAATGATACCAGGTCTCAAGGTGAAAGGTTATTCTGCCTTAAAACCAGTTATCTTGCCATTTAAAAGTGTTAGTCCAAGACTAGCCCATAATTTTTATTTATTTGTTGGTGGTGGTCTTACGTCAGAACATCAGTATTACTAAGTGGCAGTCATTCTCTACAAAATTCCTCCGCAAGATCCAAATGACATGGCATTATGATGGTGACAGTTTAGTGGACATCTGCTGTCTGTGTCTGCCTAGCCTGCACGTTCCTCTTCTGGTAGGGGCACATCATTCTATTTTGGGCTATTCCAAACCTTTGGTCTTTGTGGAGGCTGCCAGTCAAGATGCCCCGCTCTTCCCTGGCCAGAGGATTTTAAATACATGACCCAAATGAGGCCACCATCTCTAGACTAGGAACTTGACGAGCAGGGAGCAGGGACAAAGTTTTTGCATCTCTGATGCCTAGCACAGTGCCTGGCTATGAATATTCAGTGCATGTGGGCTGAATGAAATACAAAGAAAATCATGTACCTTAAACAAATGCTGAGCTAAGTCTATCATTTCCCAGCAGAATTCTGGAAGGGGAGCAAATTGTAACATGTTTTGTAAGAAAAATGTCCACTTTAGTAAGTTAGGAAATATGCATTGAAAATAGTATCCCAAGTTGCCATTTCTCAGTGCATTAAAGATGTCAATCAGTCCAAAAAATAAATAAAGTCCCCCAAAAGACAAAAGGAGAATTACCTCATTACCTCAGCATCTGCTTGAACATAAGCAATCGCACACTGGCTAATTTTTTTTAAAGGGACATAATATAACTTTCTAGAAAGACATAATATAGCTAATTATACCATTCACTAGAAGAGAACATACAATGTTTTGAAGTAATTCAGAAGAGGGTGTGATTTATAAGACATAGAGCTTAGGGAATGGTAAGTATAAATTAGAGATTGTTCATATTATGACAGACTCCGTCATTACATTTCACAACTTTTGTCAAAAGCAACCTTATTCACCACACCACTAAAGGCTTCACATTAGGGAAGGCTGCTGTCAGCTCTGCCATTCACAGTGGATGAGAACTTTCTTTCTGAACACCCTCCTGAAGAATGGGTGCAAATTTCAGACTTAAAACACAAGGGAAGGAATGATATGATGAAACCTAAATGGTCAATAAACATGTAAAAAAGATTTCAAACCTCACTAATAACCAGGTCAAACACATTTTTAAAGGTTTACCATTTTTGTTCATCAGATAGGCAAAAATTAAGCAAACTGTCAAGATGTCAACAAAGACTACATTCGTCAGTGTTGACCAACGCGTTGGAAAATGGACACTGCTAAGGGGAATGTCAACTGGTCAGCCATTTGAGGTGGGCAAGGGGGCATTTCTGCAATGTCTAGCAAAACTTTATGTGTATATGCCCTCTAAGCCAACAAAACAGGTCTAAAAATCTACCCTAGAACAACAAACTTCTAATTGTACAAACTGATCTATATGATTATTTGATTAATGACTGTCTACTAGACATTAAACTTGTCTGTCTGGTTCACAATCTTCTCTCCCAGTGCCTAGTACATGGGCCTCATATGTGATGGGTACATGGTATTTGTCAAAGAAGTAAATGAATACGCTTACTCAGCATTAAAAAAAAAGCTTTTAATCAATAATGGTTCTTGTTCACATTAATGAGAGGTAGTGGAATTATTCAAAATGTTAACAGGCAGTAAAAAGTACTGTTTACTTTCAAAAATAAACCACATACATCAGCTTACAAAACTGATCACAATATTGGTAAGAGTCCAAACACCTAGGTGCCTGTTTTTCCACCTCAAATCCCTAGCTTCCCAAGTTAGTTCTGTAGGTTCAACAGCAACAAAATACTCTTGAAACAAGTCAATTGCTATCGAAATCTATGGTGGGGTGATGTTAAGTCACTCAGTTCATGCCCAACTCTTTGTCCACTGACAAATAAACACCCCCACTTTGAAACGTATAAAAATTATACTGTGGGCTGTAAAAGAAATTCCAATATCTGTGTAACCACACTCAATATCCTTTTTAAAAAAAAAGTGTACTCTTTAAGAAACACAAATTTCAAAGTCCAGCTGTTCTACCCTCTCTGACGTGCCTTAATTGAAGAAATATATCCTCTAAAAATACAATGCACAGATTTCCCAATATAATTGGAAAAAGAACCAGAAACTTAAAAATCATTCCTTTTCCTCAGCTCTCAAATCCAACACAGAGACAGAGATGTGTCCCAAAATCAAATATAAATAACTTGTGGATTATGTGTATTGTTAAATTACTCTTGAAATTATATACAGAATAAAAAGAAGTGAAATTTTAAATTTTAACATTATTTGAAAACTGACCTTTCAACAAAAGATCTGATATCCACTGACAGATACCATTGTTAATAAAAGTTTCAACAGTCTAGAATATGAATTGAGACAAGTATGTTGGTGGTGCACGTGCGTGTTCAGTTGCTCAATCATGTCCAACTCTTTACGACTCTATAGACTGTAGCATGCCAGGCTCCTCTGTCCATGAGATTTCCCAGGCCAGAATACTGGAAGGGGTTGCAATTCCTCCTCTGGGGGATCTTCTCAACCCAGGAATCGAACCCACGTCTCCTGCATCTCCTACATTGCAGGTGGATTCTTTACCACTGAGCTACAAAGAACCCCTTATGTTGGTGGGGGTTGGTATTATTAACAATAAAATACTAATAAAATCCAGCCCCTCACTAAAACACTTGAGAAATTCCAGATGAAGGCATTATGCCCACCCACTAGACTAATCAAGGATGGGAGCTGAAGGTACTAGGAAGGCAAAAGCCATTAACATGTATCCAGCACTTTCCAGATGCTGGATACCACAGAGAAACGTGTTGTGCCCATTTTGGAAAGGTTAAATAACTTCCGCAATGGAAACAATGATAACAGTGACAGACTTTATTTTCTTGGGCTCCAAAATCACTGCACATGGTGACTGCCACCATGAAATTAGAAGACACTTGCTCCCTGGAAAAAAAGCTATGACCAACCTACACAGCATATTAAAAAAGCAGAGACATTACTTTGCCAACAAAGGTCCATCTAGTCAAAGCTGTGGCTTTTTCAGTAGTCATGTATGGATGTGAGACTTGGACTATAAAGAATGCTGAGCACTGAAGAATTGATACTTTTGAACTGTGGTGTTGGAAAAGACTCTTGAGAGTCCCTTGGACTGCAAGGAGATCAAACCAGTCAATCCTAAAGAAAATCAGTCCTGAATATTCATTGGAAGGACTGATGCTGAAGCTCCAATACTTTGGCCAACTAATGTGAAGAACTGACTCAGTGGAAAGGATCCTGATGTGGGAAAAGACTGAAGCCAGGAGGAGAAGGGGACAACAGAAGATAAGATAGTTGGATGGCATCACCGACTCGATGGACATGAGTTTGAGCAAGCTCAGGGAGTTGGCAATGGACAGGGAAGCCTGGCGTGCTGCAGTCCATGGGGTCACAAAGAGTCGGACATGACTGAGCGACTGAACTGAAATAATTTCCCCAAGGTCACCCAGTTACTAAACAGTCATGATGAGATTTGTTTTCAGGAATGTGAACCCAAGAGGGATCCATTTACCCTATGAACAGCTTGTTTGTGGTCTCAGGGAGCAACAGGTCTTAGCATTGGACAGATCTCGTGACATCATCTGGTTTAGCTCTTGCCTGTAGTCAAGTAAGGCTTGATTAACCATAAGATCCATAAAAGAGAAGTGACTCCCCCAAGTTCACAGAGTTGGTGAGTTGAGTCAAGAGAAGTGAAAAAGCTGGGACTAAACACCAGGATTCACCACAAAGCAGGGCGCCTTCCACAACCTGGTAATGTCATTAAGTTATTCAGAAAAAAAAAGTATATTCCCACACATTTTTACTTCCTAAATTTGTATGGTTCCTCTCTTTCTTGACCTGTATTCTCAGGCCACCAGAGAATTTGGTCAGGGACATAATCATTTTAAGTTGAAAAGGTGTTCGGTTCACATGCAATCTTAATTTGGCTTTGTTCAGAGGTGTGGTGAAGCGATGAAAATGACTGACTAAAACTGTTACTTACTAGGATATGAAAATAGTTCTGCATCTAGTTACCCGGCAGTGTAGAAATGCAGGTTACAAGGCCTGGCTTTTCTGTGAACCAGAGCCAAGTCCTAAATCAAGAAGCCCTACACCATCAGAGTGCCGCCTCACTGGCGAATCCACTGCTAGAAATGGGAAGCGATAAAGCACACCGTGGCCTGCAAATCCCAGCTGGGGAAGGAAAGAGGAACTAGGCCAAACCAGAATGAAAAGCTGGAGAAAGGCTGTCAAACCGCGCGGCAGGCCTCCCAGCGCCAATGTGCAAGGGTGGGGCCGGGGCCGGGGAGCCAGGCCAGCGGAGCTGCCCACACCGCGCCCTCTCCACGACAACCTGCCCCACTCGCCTCTCCCGCGTGGCACGGGGGGGACCGTGGGACCGTGTCCGTGCCGAACCCCCCGTCCCTTCCCCTAAACCCCCATCTCCAGCTAAAGCCACCAACGGGGAAACCCTTCCCGCACGGCCCGGCGCGACCCTCCGGGGCACAGGCACGTTAACCCTCTGTCCCGGGGCTCGCCCAAGCGCGCGGGGCGCGGCGGACGCCTCTCCCCGGGGTGACGGAGCTACTGGGGGTGACGGTGGCGGCTGCGATCCCTCCCGCCCAGCTTCCACCCGCTCCACACCCGGCGCCCTGGAGCCGTCCCCGCCCACGGGCCGCGGCCGCCCGCACCTGGCGGCTACGCGCCCGCCTACCTTGCTCCTTCAGGCTGGAGATGAGCTGCAGCTGCTTCTCCTCTCCCGAGCTGTTCATTTTGGCAGGTGGGGCCGGGAATAAAAGGAAAGGAGGGCGAGGAGAGGGGGTGCAGCAGGGGTGTAGGGGGGGAAGAAAAAAGCAAGATGCCGCTGGCGGGCGGCTTCGCTACCCGGAAGTTGGATTTGCTCCCGCTCCTCCTCCTCCTCCTGCAGGCGCGGGGCGCGCGGGTGAGATCATCCCAGCGCACCTACTCCGCGGCCTCGGCGGCTTTACCTGCCGGTCGGCGGAGAGGCGGGGAGGGGGGCGGGGACAGGCCGGCAGCCCCGGGGGCAGCGGAGAGGGGTGGGGACGCCGGAGGCACCCTCGGTGATCACGGGACCGTCCACCGTGCTAGCCCGCGGCGGCCGCGGACGCTCGGCTTCCTCCGCAGCCCAGGCCCGCGCCGCAGGATGCGCGGGCGGGAGGGCGTGCGCGGGCCCTGCGTTGAGGTGGCGCTGGCTGGTTCCTGCACCCCCGTCTCCGCCTGCATCCCCCTTGTTCGCCTCCACCCTCCTTTTGGACCCCCACCCCCAACCCCGGCCAGGAGCGTGTTCTGGTGGAAGCCTGCCCTGGGTCTGCAGCGTCTATGAGAAGCCCACTCTGCACGCTGTCAAAGGCCTCTCCCCACGAGCTGCCGATAATGTAGAGAGCGAGACGTAATGAGCTAATAAACACCCAGATTCTTAGCCAGTTCTTGCATAGTGGACCCTGGGGGTGGGGGCTCCGTGTGGACAAACCTAGGGGCCCCCGCCCCCGCTTCTCCCAGGGGCAGGCTGTGTTGTACGTTTGGGACCTTGCAAAGCGTACAGATATTGAAACAGACCAGACGGGTAAGATACACAGTGAGCCAGCGAGGGCGTGGTAAATTAGTTAACTGCTCCTGGCTCCTGGGCTAGCTTCCTCCAGCTGCACTCGGTTTGAGAAATGGTCACAACTGAACCCTGCAGCCCACGGATCGCCAGGCCCTGCAAATTATGTGGTCTGTGGTGGAAAGATCTCTTCAGGGTAGAGGCCACTGCAGTCCGAATGCCTAAGGTCACACGGCTGCCTGAAAGCAGAGGCTGGTGACGTTTGACTACCTTCTGCTCTGTTTGAACCCAGCTCTGGGTTCGAGCCTGACTAGAAGAGGGGCGGTAGGCCTGCCAGATTTCAAAATGGCTCTCCCCTACCCGCAGTAGCCAGTCCTTAGTCAAGTTTCCTGATCTGTTTGAACTCCATCCGAAAGGAAAATGGGAATAATACGAATATCCACTCTCCCAGAAGAGTTGTTAAGTGTTCAACAAGGAGCGGAAGATACACAAAACGCCACATCCATAATTTGACATACACTAGGTGTTCTTGAAAAGTTTACAGTTCTGTGAACCAGGCGTTGTGGATGCTAAACTGGGCACAGGCACTTTTACACTAATCATTAAGCATACAAAGTAAACCCAAATTCAATTAGGCTCACTACACATCTTGAGTTTTCTGTCTCAAAGCTCTTCATGTGGGTTCTACACCTGCACAGTGCTTCTACTCATTCCTCACTTGCTATTATGTAAATACCCAACTCTGTTTACTGAATGGATCTCCATGATGGATGGCGGAGTGCTAGAATGCAGGTAAAGACTGTAACTAGTATCTGTCTGATACTCCTCCCAAGTTCTGATTCAAAATGAACTTGGAAAAAATGGTAGCACTGCTTCCTCTTTTTCTAAAAAGGCAATATAACATTTTAGCATGAGTGATTTAGTGTTAGAATGATCTAAAAAAGGCAGCACAGTGTTTTTAAATAGAGTGAATTTTGAAACTTTAAAAATAATTTTGGCATGAGGTCTTATTGTTCAGTCCTTTACCTAGTTTTTCATAAGACAGTTTAAGAAATAATAATAACCAAATGGCCTTTGCCTTAAGATTACCCAAGATGGTATCTTAATCCTTGGAATTTAAAGAAGGCCCAGTAAAATCCTCAAAGTTTAAAGAAGACCCTGAATTGCTTCGGACTCAAGTACAGGAAACATGAATGAAATGTGCTGCTGCCAGTTATTTTGCATCATGAGAAATCATTTCTTTTCAGAAAAAAAAAAAAAAGATTTGAGTAACATATCATGACCATCTAGCTTTCATACTGAAGCCAGGAAACCTATTTTATTAATAACTGATCAGTCACTCTGCTGGATAATGCCAGAGGCCTCCTCCAAATCTAAATAATCAATTATTTTCTTGCATTAAACCAAATACCAGCAGAGTGCCTGCTAAATATTTGGGTTAGTTCACAAGGCTCCATTTTTTAAATGGCTGATTTTTCTACTCCAATTATACAGTAATTTGGGTATCACTTTTGGGCTTTAAGAATGAGTTAATTAATTATCAAATCTATAATCAAATTGAGTGCTTTGGTTCCACTCTGCACCCCCTTGAAATTAATCCTGTTTACCTTCCTTGAAATTAAAATAGCCTCCTGAAATACAATATGGTATTATCTTGAGGGCAGGGAATGAATTATTAGGATGGCTATTAGAGTCAATTATAGGGATTCAGCTCTCCCGTTACACTATGGTTTATTTATATGATATGAATATTGATGGAAAGGATAGAAGTGATAATAATTAGTTTTTGTTCTATTTAATAATGCACATAGGGATTTATGTTGCAGGCATCACAATGGACTCATTAACCTCCATAAAATATATAATTAAAAACATTTAAAAACATGTTTTTAATATATACTAAAAGAGGGGAAGGAGAGATTTTTCAAAAGTGAGTTGAAAGGATATGTACCAAACTCAGGATGATGGCTGCCTCTAGAGGTAGAGGGCTTCCCCGGTGGTTCAGTGTAAAGAACCCGCAGGAGACACAGGAGACATGGGTTTGATCCCTGGGTCGGGAAGATCTCCTGAAGGAGGACATCGCAACCCACTCTGTACTCTTGCCTGAGAAATCCCATGGATAGAGGAGCCAGGCGGGCTACAGTCCATGGGGTCACAAAAGAATTGGACACAACTTAACAACTAAACAACAACATCTAGGGGCAGAAAGTAGAGGAGCAGGCCCAGGGGGGAGGAGTGGAGTGGGAGAGAGCAGTGATCGGTAGATTTCCTCTTTAATCTTTGTTTGTATTGCCAGGAAATTAATGTAAAATCACATTATTTATGTAATCTTTTGAGGTATACAGACAAATAAGACTGAAATACAGTAGGAAATGAAGGTTCATTTCCTTTTCACTAATTCCATATTAGGTAATCTACCCTAAAAGGCTTTACTACATTATTAATTATGATATAATAATAATAACATTGGAACACTATTTAACAATAAAAAGAAATAAAAGTATTGATACATGCCACAGCATGGATAAAATTTGAAAACATTAAGTGAAAAAGCCAGTCAGAAAACACCAGACATTGTATGATTCCATTGATCTAGAATGTCCAAAATAGGCAAATCCACAGAGAAAGTTAATCAGTGGTTGTCTAGGACTGTAGGTGCTGGGGGAAATGGTAAGTGGCTGCTAGTACGTATGGGATTTTTCTTTGGGGTAGTAAAATTTTTCTAAAATTGATTGTGGTGATGGTTGAACAACGTAGTAAAATTTTTCTAAAATTGATTGTGGTGATGGTTGAACAACGTAGTAAAATTTTTCTAAAATTGATTGTGGTGATGGTTGAATAACTCTGTGAACATATTCAAAACCATTAGGCTGTACACTTTCAGTGTATACTTTGCATGGGAAATTTTGTGGTATGTGAATTTTATCTCAGAAAAGTTTTTATTTAAAAAAGGTTTTCAGAGGAAGAAAACTTTTACCTTAATAGACTACTTAAATAACTGTATTAAATTTATAAGCTTTTTGTGTAAGTATTTTTCATTTTCAAATATTTATATATATTAATTCTACTTTTTACTAAACATTATGTCATATATTATCTTGCGTCAGTAAAGTCTACACACTTACTCAGTACCACTCCATTATATCAATGAATACTTAGCTATTCTCAATTCTTAGACATTTGACTTGCTACTAGCATTTGCCTCTATAAATAATACCACAGAATCAAGGACCACTCCTAGACATACCATAGTCAAATTGTGAAAAACTAAATATAACAATCAGGTCTTAAAAGCAGTCAAAGAAAAATGCATATTACATACATGAGAACAACAATAAAAGTGATGGCAGACTTATTATTTAATGTTGTAATCATTAAAGGATTACAACAAAATTCAATACTCAACAATATGAGATACAAATACATTGAAAGTAAAACAATGAAAAAATATTCCGCACAAATAGTAACCAAAAGAGAAATGGGGTGGTATACCAATATCAGAAAAACAGACTTTTAAGTCAAAACTCTATTAAAAGAGACAAAGGAGGACATGATATATTCACAAAAGTGTCAATTCATCAAGTATATATAACAATTATAAGCACATATACAGCAAACAGACAACTCCCAAAACATACAAAGCAAACATTGACAGAACTGAAGGGAGAAATAGTTTAACAATAATAGTTAGAGATTACAATATCCCACTTTCAATAATGGATACAAAATTTAGGTAGAAGATCAATAAGGATGGAGAGGACTTAAACAACACTATAAACCAAATAGATATAACAGACATACATAGAACACTCCAAACAGCAGATGCATAATTCACATTCTTCTCAAGTGCACATGGGAACATTCTCCAGGATAGATGTTATGTTTGGCCAAGAATTTAGTATCAATAAATTTTAAAAAATTGAAATCATATAATGGTACAAAGTATCTTCTTCAGCCATAATGGAATGATACTAGAAAATCAGCAATAGAAGAAAATTCTGGAAAATCCACAAATATAGATATTAAATAACACCCTCTTCAATAAAGGTTCAAAGAAGAAATTACAAGGGAAATCGGAACACAGGATAAAAAACAAAGATATACAAAAACTTATGGGGTGCAGTGAAGGCAGGAGAGTGCTCCCAGGGAAATCTATAGCTGTAAATGGCTAACTTTACATGTTGAGAGAAAAGAAAAAGAAGAGTAAAA